AACTTGGAGCCTTCCCATCCTGGTAGGTGGTGGAGGAGCTGGGGGGCCATGTGCCACGAACAGCTGAGACGCTGCAGCAGCTCTTGCCTGGCGTGGGGCGATACACAGCCGGAGCCATCGCTTCCATCGCCTTTGGCCAGGTGACCCCGCTGCCCCCACCCCACCGCATGCCCTGCCCACCTCCCCTCCCAGCCCAGGCTGACTCCTGGGCTCTTCTCTGCCAGGCCGTGGGTGTGGTGGACGGGAACGTAGTGCGGGTGCTGTGCCGCGTCCGGGCAATTGGCGCCGATCCCAGCAGCCCCCATGTTTCCCAGAAACTCTGGTAGGCTATTGGCTATTGCTGGACGGGGTCGAGCGGGAGGGGCGGTCTCCAAAGGGCCTTTGACAAATAATACAGTTCCGTTCTTACAGGAGCTTAGCCCAACTGCTGGTGGACCCAGCCAGGCCAGGGGACTTCAACCAAGCCGCCATGGACCTGGGGGCCACCGTGTGCACGCCACAGCGCCCACTGTGTAACCAGTGCCCTGTGCAGAGCCTGTGCAGAGCCCGCCAGAGGGTGTGTCATCTGGGGAAGGGGTATTCAAGGGTCCTGGGGAGTGACTCTTGCCCCATAACCCCCTGCGTGCCCCTCTCAGGTGGAAGGGGAGCAGCTGTCTGCCTCCCGCAGCCTGCCGCCCAGCCCCGATGTGGAGGAGTGTGGTGAGTGCCTGCCCTGCTCTCCCAGAGCTGGGCCACTACCTGGCCTCTAGGTCTGCCACCTAAGCCCTCCTGGCCTGAGGGGAGCGGGGAATCTCTCTTTCCAGCTCCCAACACTGGACAGTGCCAGCTGTGCCCGCCACCCACAGAGCCTTGGGATCCAACCCTGGGAGTGGTCAACTTTCCCCGAAAGGCCAGCCGCAAGCCCCCCAGGGAGGAATGCTCCGCCGCCTGTGTCCTGGAGCAGCCCGGGGCCCTTGGAGGCGCTCAACTTCTGCTGGTGCAGAGGCCCGGCTCAGGTACCTGGCAGCCGGAAGTGCAGGCGTGGGGACGTGAGCACCAAGGAGGGGGTGGGGGAGCCGACAGCTCAGGCTACCCCACCCCTGGCTGCTTTCCTCTCAGGCTTGCTGGCAGGACTGTGGGAATTCCCATCAGTGTCTGTGAGTACCGAGCCCTCAGGGCAGTGTCAGCGCCAGGCTCTGCTGCAGGAGCTGCAGAAGTGGGCTGGTCCTCTCCCGGCCACCCACCTCCAGCACCTCGGGGAGGTGAGTGAGCAGTGGAGGGGCCCGACTGATGGATTTTGTGGCGATGTCCGCAGGCCGATTTCAGCCCTCTCCCCTCACTCCTCCTCCCCAGGTCGGGCACACCTTCTCTCACATCAAGCTGACCTATCAGGTTTACGGCCTGACCCTGGAGGGGCAGACCCCAGTGGCCACCGCACCCCCTGGCGCTCGCTGGCTGACCCGGGAGGAGTTCCACTCTGCAGCTGTCTCCACTGCCATGAAAAAGGCACTGTCTCCGTCGTCTGTGTTTTCCCAACGCCCTGTGTGAACCTGTTAGTGTGTCAGCAGAGAAACAGACTTCTACTATACACAAGCCTGCTGGGGCAGGAGATTGAGGGCAGAACACAGGGTTCTGGCTCCTGGGGAAAGGTGCCAGCCCTCTCATCTACCCTTTACTTGGCTAGGTGTTCCGGGTGTACGAGGGTCAGCAGCCAGGAACCCGCAAGGTGAGCCTCCTGCCCTCCCAGCACCTCTGCTTTAGGAGCTTTCATTCAGTCTGTCCAGGCTTCACCAGACAGAGGGCGTTCTGACGGTTGAGGGGACACATGGTGCACAATATGGTGTCACAGGCGTGGGCACTGGCGATACTGTTTGGTGGTACATGAATGAGAGAATGTCACTCCTCTCTGGGAAGCAGAGATCAGGAAGATTTATCCGCGGGGTACAAGGAATGAGTAGTTTTCTCTAGCTGGGGAGGGCAGTTAGCAGTGAAGGGGTTCTTTCTGGGTGAGGTGTGACACCCTAGGCACCTTTCTTCCCCTTTGGCTGAGGGCACCCAAACCCTTCTCAGATCAGTTAGGGCGGAGACCACAGGAGCTTCCTGGTGGAGGAGGAAGGAGGCAGATTTGCATTTTAGGTTGACCCTTCTGGCTAACCTTTTCGAGAGCTGATCTGAGGGGAAGATATGGGGAGTCAAGTAAAAGCTCGCACAACATTCCGGGCAGAACCTGAATGCACTCCGTGAAGGGAGGGGATGGGCCCTGAGAACCCTCTGCTGCCCCCTCTTCAGTGCCTCCCCACTTGGGCTTCTGCACAGAGTTTCAAAAGGTCCCGGGTGTCGGTCTCGTCCAGCCGGAAGAAGCCCAGCCGGGGCCAGCAAGTCCTAGATGGTTTTTTCCAACCCCTTGTCCACACGGATGCACCCAAGCTCAGCGGAACAGCCCAGTGATGGACGGCTCTGGAAGTGGCCACCAGTGCTGAGAGGCCTGTAGTTAATAAAGTGTTTTATTTTCATTTTGGAGAACGACCTACCCCCTCCCTGCCTCCGAGGATCCTGGAACGTAATGAAATCCTGCTCGACCCTAGCTTCTACTGGCTGAGCTCCCAGGCAGCTGCATGCAGCACCTGCCAGGACCTGCCAGCAATGGACACCCAACACCTCACACCAGGTCTCAGGTCACCCCTGATTGGTGTGGAGGCATTGCCCCAGAGCAGGTGATTGCTCAGCCCCTCCCAGTGCCCCCCACTCCCACCCCCCATCAGCAGCATCCTGGAAGTGGAGAAAAGACAGGGAAGGGGGACTTGGTGTCTTAAATCCCTACCTCAAATACTAAATCGGCTATTCGGGGATACATTACATGGCATATGCAGATAAACAAAGGGCTGAGAGTCTCAAAATTGTGGGGTGAGCAGGAGAGAAAGGGATCAGAGAGCACACCGGAAGCTTCAAAGTGGACAGATCTGATTGAAACTAGTGGAGCCTCTGGCCCTTACTCTTCACACCCGGAGCTGAATGCTCCCATAGATCAACTTTCAGTGGAACAACAGATGGGCCTGTAACATGAACAGTAATCAGCAGGCTTGCGCTCCTTAGAACAGTTGACAGGAAGAGACCAGAAGGGCATTTGCCTCAAACAAAGCTCAAGGCAGGAAGGGACAGGAAAGAGCAGCATGGAAACGGGAGCCCCAGGCAGTGGGAAGGGTGCTTTCACATGGTGGCGATGGTCATCAGACTACAACACAAACTGATACATGGAAGACTTTCACAAACTACAACAAAGTGTTTTGTTTTTTTTAAAGGATGGATTATGATCCAGTCCCTAATCGTGTGATTCTTTTATTAGTCTTCACATTTTACATTCAGATGAGTGTCTAAGAACTGTTTCGGAGTAAAACTAAAAGGTCCCACCCCCATGGACCCCGGTGAGATTCCACTTCTGACAGGCTGCTGAGGCCAGGGTCACACCTGGTCACACAGGCTGCCCACTAGCTTATGTACACCTGGGCTCCAGTCACCCTGCTAGGCCGTACCTGGCAGCTTGATCCTCCACCGATTGCCACAAGGCCCTGATGTTGCCCTGGCCAAAGCCTGTGGCCCCCTGCCTTTGAATCAGCTCCAGGAAGAAAGTGTCCTCAGGAAAGAGGGACTTGGTGAAGACCTGCAGCAGGAACTTGCCTTGATCCCCATCCAGCAGGATCCCTTGGCTGGCTAGCCGGCCGGGCTCCTGACCTGCAGCTCGGATCTGGTCCTCCTTGCCAGGCTGCTGGTAATAGGCTTCGGGGGGCGTCAGGAGCTGGCCTCCTGCTGCTGCCACGCCTTCTGTGGCTGCCATGATGTCAAGCGTGTACAGCCCCACGTGCTGCAGGCCAGGCCCCTGGTTCTGGTCCAGGAACTGCTCCACCTGGTCCTTCCCACTGCTGGCTCCTGACAGGGACTCAGCCAATACCAGGGTGGGGACATCGCTGCCCACCGGCGTCTGCAGGGCCGTGAGCCTCAGCCCCCCGCGTCCAACCCCGGCGGACACTTCTAGGCCCACCATTGGATCCTCACCTGGGCTCAACGGCAGATGGCGAAAGCCCAGGTAGTCTTGGAACCAGCGCATCAGAATGGGGGAGCTGCCAGGAGTGCAGGCGAGGGTCAGGTGGTCCACGTGGCTGACCCAGTTGGGCCCAGGCTCCGAGGGCACTGGTCCAAAGCCCGGCAGGAAGGGCCCGCAGTAGCCAGAGCGCTCCAGCAGCGTCAGGCTGAGGTTGGAGACCGGGGAGTTCACCACCGTGTAGGTGGCGGCGCCATGCGCATCCCGCAAGCTCACAGGGGACACCAGCATGAGGCAGCCCCGCGCAGCTAGTGCCCGGGCTGCGCTGGCCGCGTCGTCCACGTCGAAGCACAGGTTCGCGGCGCTGGGCACGGCGTGACGGGAGTCCAGTCCGTACAGCGGCTGCCCGGGCCCTGCGCCTTCATTGACCAGGAAGATCGCATCTCCACTGCGCAGGGCGAGCTGCCGCCAGCCGTCCCCCTCCCGCGCCGCCAGGGGCTGGAAGCCAAAGAGGCGCTGCAGGTCCCGGGCGAAGGGCTGCCCTGCGGGCACATGGAAGGCGATGTGACACAGGCGGCGGGCGGACAAGGCCATGGCTGCCCAGATGACCCGATGTGTTCTTCTGAGCACTCCCAGTTGTGGTCGCGACCCCACCAGTACTCTCTCGGACTCTGCGTGGGAGCGCAGTGTTGCCTGCAATTCACGACTTTTTTCTTCCCTCTTTCTCTCTCTAGGGAGAGAAGTTACGGACCGAATCACCTTTCTGGGAGCTCGCGGTTCCCGCTGCCGCTCCTCCCAGACCAGGAGCGGCGAGCGGACCACCGGGTCCGAAAACCACGTGGAGCCCGTGCTGGGCGGAGCCAGAGGTAAGGGGCGGAGCGGGTGACTCCGCCTCACCCTCTCCACCCTCCCGGCCAGACCTTGCCGCCGCCGAGGGGACCTTGAGGATGCTCTGCTGCCCCTTCCCAGGGCCTCGGGCCGGGTCACACCCTCGGAGCACTGAACCTTCCTCCTCCGCCTCTGAAGGTCACAATAGCTTCCTTCAGTCAGTGCCAGGCTCTGGGCTGTCCCTCCTCCAATTCTGGAGCACAGGGAATCAGCCAGAACTCTCTGTCCACAGGCACAGAATTTCTTGCTTGCTGTTGCTTTTGCTGAAGTTGAATGAGGTGTTACAAATGTTTACCTCTCCTTCAAAATAAATCAAATCAAATCACTACTATCGATTCCAAGGCTGTAAATCTTCAAGGGACCAGATAGCCTCTTTTCTCCTGGAAGCGTCTTGAAAGTGGGTTTGAATTGGCTGTGGGTAGCGATCACCTCCCTCAAATTGTCCAGACTGCGATATGATTCCTGGGTGCCTATCTCCTCCACCCTGGGCAGTGGCTTAGCTGCACACATTTGGGTGAAAGTTTACAGAGTAAATGCACTTCTCACTGAACACGTTTGCACATTTTGTCTCCTGACCGTAGACGCAATCCTTGCCTAGGTCCCTGATTTCCATTACCCGCTTTTCCTCTTCCTGCCTTCTGAAGTTTGTTTTGGGGCAAATGCGGTCTCTCCCGACACCCTTGAAAGAAACTGCTTCTTGTGAATTCAGTGAAGGATGATAGACCTGTTCACTGCTTGCGGTCTAAATAAGCCACAAGGTCAGTTCCCTAGTCAGTTTCAGGGGTCCCTCGAGTATTGACTGTTGTAAGCACATTGTGGAATAAACAACACAAGCAGAGACCGAGCGTCGTTGAAGAGGTTTATTGCGTCCAAACCTAGCTCAGCGCTGAGGGGTCACACAGATCTGTGGCGTGCAGGTGTGGACCCCGAGCTGAGGCTGGGTACAAGCTTTTATAGGCATGCGGTTGATTGGGTCACACAGACTTTGCGTTATCTTTTAGCTTGCAACAGCTTGCAGGTTTTTCTCAAAAGCTGAAGGGTACGGAAGCAGAACATTCGGTTAAGCTGATCCTTACACAAGCTTGGGATCATCCTGTTTTCTTCTGTTCTTCTGGCAAACCCAGAACAATTTCGCCCAGAACAATTCCAACTTCCTTATCACCCAGAACAATTTCACCTTTCTTATCACATTCCTCATCACATCCTTATCACCTTTACCCAGCCAACAAGTCTGTGTCTTTCATGATTTTAAGTTTTGTTCCAGTTTTATCGCATTCAGTCCAGAACCTTCTAAAAGGTAGCTGGGGCCCCTCTAGTTCTTCTGATCTTCGTTTGCGGAAACTAATGGTTGCCTGGCCCATGAGTCCATTGGACTGATAGTTTCCATGCCTTTTAAATTTTTTCATCGCTTTTCTTGCCTCGGGATGAGGAGAGACCTATGGTTGCACCTTGGAAGGCTGCTCATGAGCTTTTAAGACCTTAGTCACTACTCAGCCAACTAGGACAGAGAACATTGTCTCGGTGACGTCTGTTATGCCAGCAAATCACCTATCTCTTCTTTCAGTCCCACATCATTTACTCCTTTGTCCCAAGCACAGTTTGGAGGGGAAAATGGTGGCGCATGACCCGAGAGGAACAACTATGGAGGTATCTTTGCCCCCACCCACCCATTACTCCACCCACTACTGATCGGGACTAGAACCCGGCCCTCCTTGCGGTTCCCTGACGAGGTGTGTATTGGGCCGTAGGAGCTTTCGGGGGCATTTCTAGCTCTGGACCTCAGAATTCTTTTTTTTTAATCATTTTATTGAGGGCTCATACAACTCTTATCACACTTCATCCATCCACCCATCCATTGTGTCAAGCACATTTGTATATTTGTTGCCATCATCATTTTCAAAACATTTTCTTTCTACTTGAGCTGGCGCTATTCCCTCAGAATTCTATGAGATTACTTGCTTGAAGAAATCAAGAGTCTGCTAGAATTTTGACTGAGCCACCTAGAAGGGTTTAGGAAGGTAATGTCAAGAAGAGCAAACAGAATAAGATAAAGCTGAATCAGGGACTGCAAACCAAACCTTCAGAGGAGCAATAGAGCATGGGGTTGGGAGGTATTTGGGAGTGGCCACTATCTTAAAGAAATTTGCCAAAGAAATTCCCTTTGTCAGGTAACCTGGATCTGGGACTCATGGTTGGGTTTCCTTTGATAAGAGGGAAAAGCAGAATATGATCGAAGATGGGCTTAGAGGAAAAAGAGTTTAGGGGGAAAATAATGTCTGCCTGAGTGTTCAGGCTTGCAACTAGACAGACAAAAGCTGGCCGGCAGTGGCAGTGGAAGTCACGCTCAGGTTCCAAAAGCCAAAGACTTATAATCCACCTTCAATATTTACTACCTGCAGGACTTGCAGCAAGGAGCCCTGAGGCTGTAGTGGTTTACTTGGTAGGGCTGCTAACTGCAAAGCCAGCAGTTCAAAACCACCAGGAGACAGGGGAATCGTTCTGTTCCTGTAAAGATGTACAGTCTTGGAAACTCAGAAGGTCTATTCTACTCTGTCCCACAGGGTCACTGAGTCAGAATTGACTCTTGGCAGTGAGTTATGACTAGGGGCAACTTGTTTAACTTCTTTTAAGTTCTTTTTGGTAAAATTGTGAATAGGAAGAGGATCAACAGAATAGTTGTAATTAAGAGATAATATGTAAAGAGACTTGGCCCAGAGTAAATAAATCACTGTTGTCATTGTGACGTATGATTCTTCCTGATTGTACAAGGACAGTGATGCTTCCTGGAGTGGCTTGGACGGATTAGAGAGGGGACTGCCCTGGTATGGCCCCTAGGGCCAGACAATCTAGTCAATGACCAGTCAGTAATGGCCCAGAAATGGGCTTCGCTCTCTCCAGGGAGTCCTCAAACCAAATTCTAGCAAGTCAGTGCTGACTCATTGCAACCCCCTGTGGGTTTCCAAGACTGTAATTATTTAGTCTTTCTTCCAAGGAGCTGCTGGTGGTTTTGAACTGCTGACCATGAGGATGGCAGTCCAACACATAACCACCACACCACGAGGGTTTCTGGTGCAGTGAGTCCTAAGTAGTAAGCATTCCATCTTCATTCTTCTTTCTTCAGTCCCACCACCATTAAAGCTTCTCCCCCACCCCTGCCCCACCCGTGGGAATTGTAGGGATGATGGTAGGGCAATGATGCCTTAGCTCGGGCCCAATTCCCTTTGTCCATTGACAACGTGACTATGCCCCTTGCCCCTGTTTTCCCCTCTGACAAACTAGGAATATGCTCCCAGCCCAGTTTCCAGCCGGGGACCCTTTATGATGAACAGTGTGATACTGAACCTTCAGTGACAGCAAGGGTGATGAGAGGCTCAATTGTGGGGAGTTAGAGGTCCTCAAGGAGCCCTGGTGGTGTAGTGGGTTATGAGTTTCTCTGTGAACTGCAAGGTCAGTAGTTCAAAACCACCAGCCACTCGCAGGGAGAGAGATGAGGCTTTCTATCCCATAAGGGGTTTTTGTCTCGGAAACTCGCAGGGCGGTTCTGCTGCATCCTATCGGCATGGACTGGAAGGCAGTGGGAGTGTTGAGAGGTCTCATTTTTCCCATCCCCATTCTTTTGGGGGACAGTCTGCCCAGTCCTGGCTCCCGGACTGCTGATGAGATGGATTGGGCTGCAGAGCAGATGTGGTTGCCCACCTGGTGGTCTTCAATCTGAGAACCTGGGCCTGGGTGGGGTCAGTGGTGGCTTTTGACCTGGTTGTTGTAGGGTGGGAGCATAAGGCCGCCAAAGCAGCAGAGGCTGCAGGGGGTCACTGCTTAGGAACTGAGTGGTCTCGGACTGAAGCAGGATTAGGAACAGCTATAGCAGGGCTGCTCCTCCCTGGGCCTGCACGCGGGAGGGCGCTGGGAGGGTTCTGCCTTTGGCTGCTTGATTCTGGGGGAAGGGGCTCAGGGAGGAAGGCTTTGCATGGGCTGGGCTGAAGGCTAGTTTGGACCTGCATGGCCCACCCCTAAATGAGCAGCTCTGGTAGCTCCAGGGCTCCAGTCCCACTGCAGGGCGCTCTGCTCCCGGGGTCTCAGGTACCAACATTCAGAACAGAGACACTTCCCACTTGCTCAGGAAAGGAGGAGGGTGAGATTTGGGGAGGCTAAGCGGAGGCAATCTGAAAGGCACAGGTGATCTTGACTCAGGCACAGGCTCTAGAAATGCGGTGGTGGGTATTGGTCAGACTGCCCCTCCACCCCCCCCACCCCCCCGCAGGCCTCATAGGGGCCGCGTGCGGAGAGAAGGGAGTAGATTGAGGCCACGGGTGGAGTCACGCCATCGGAGGGCGCGGGACCCAGGGGACTTGGCGGTGGTAGCGCTGCTGGAAGGCTCCGCATCTTCCACAACGTCTGCGACCGTGTCTCGCGGCGGCGGCTCTGGAGGGAGGGCCAAGGAGCCAGGTCCTTCCACCAGCTTTCTGCTGAGGCCTAGGGGCCAGTCAGGCGCCCTCCACCTCCTTAGAAGCCCTGGGTGGGCTCTTTTCCATTGTAAAGCCCACTCCTGTCCCTTCACCCCGTCCCTGCCCGCAGCGGCGCCCCAGAAGCTTGCCCCCGCACATCACCGCGCCGCTCGCCCTGGCAAGGGCTTGACATTTTATCAGTGATGGCTTGAAAAGTCACGTCGAGAAGGTGACTTTTTTTTTTTTTTTGAGAAGGTGACTTTTAAAAAATTTTTATTTGCTAGGGAACCGATTACAAGGAACTATATGTGACCTCCTCCCTGGGGGACGGACAACAGAAAAGTGGGTGAAGGGAGACGTGGGACAGGGCAAGATATGACAAAATAATAATTTATAAATTATCACGGGCTCATGAGGGAGGGGGGAGCGGGGAGGGAGGGGAAAATGAGGACCTA